GACAATTAGTAATCCGATTATTCGTTAAGTCACTTTTCTTGTAATTCATATTGCCTGATATTTACGGCATTAATCAAAGACTATAATTATTGAATAAATCATTTAACCGTTTAAAAGTTGAATCTCCCTGAGAGATATTCATTTCTAATTATCTACGAGTGATCTATCCCTATCATCGAACCCAACCGCTCGGGTCTATAACAATTTTAAGCAAGATAAAAGAAACAGTAGCCATGAACGTAACTAGAGATTAATATATAAACTTACGTTTACACTTTCTGACCAAAGGTTCCTCCGCGGGGCGTACTGAGGAGTTTTCTTCATTAAGATTGAAAATGGTTGGAACACTTCCTTTCCTTAATCGTGCTCTTTGATCACAGATATCGAGTGATTCCTTCGAAAAATGCCAGATGCCAGAAATATTTCCTTGGAAAATTACTGAGCTTGTTATGCGTCCTTTCAGCGCGCATGGACATTGACATCAAATTTTGTACCTTCCGTAATATTCGGCGGCGCTGCCCCACTTCCATTTGCTTCATTTTCACCTCCTAGAAATGCCGCAACACCCACATGGTCCGATCCTGGCGCGCTTTCCAATTTCGTCCTCTTCATTCTTTCCCTCGTTCTATCATTATCCAAGATGTAGTCTTTCACTATTTCACCTCTTCTTATGAATGTAACCTCCTCTTCCTGATTCCCTTCTTTGTTGCCATTCATTATGAACCATCCACACTCTGCCATATATCCCAACTTTTCTCCTTGTTTATCCACCTCCTTCGCTACCTGCTTCGAATTCCTCCGATCATGTCACTTCTCTCCTCTTTCTCCGGACCATGCATTAAAATCCCCCCCAATCATCTTCATCCTTTCATATTTAATATTCATCCACTTCTTCAACTCTTCTATGCCCTAGTTATTGAAAAATCTGAATAATTGAAATAGAGGACAAACTTCAAATGAAGAATTACCAACGCAATATTTGTACCATCGAGGATGAGGGAGAAAGAAAAATGAAAATCATTCAGTATAGAGCACATAGACAATTGTGGTAGTAAATTCAGTAGCGGAGTGTCGAACGGATTGAGTCGGCTTAGCTCTGAGTTGAACTTTTGATAAATATCTTGTAATTTCAAATAATATGGCGAAATTTTCATAATCAGATTTGGTACATGTTGGCATGAAAATGTTCCTATGCCTTAGGGGATTAATTAAAAATTGATGAATAGTCTAAATGAATCGAAATGAATTGACTATTTCTTAACGGCCTAATAACGAAATGTACTATAGAAGAGTATGTCCGATGGAAAAGTTCCGTAGGACTTCTCTGTGTTCTTATTATCGAGTTTAGGTTCGGATACTAGGTTGCTGACACGTTCTACTGCTCGCAAGCTTTAAGGTTTTTTTTTGTTTAGAAAATTTACTATATTTATAAAAATGAATTTTCTGTGAATTAATAAAAATGACTGATAATTTTTAAGTCTATCACGTGAAATAAACAAAAATGTACAAATCTGAAAAAACAATCCATACTGTATGCTCATCATACTCAAATATTATTGACTCTTTCAGTATCATTATTCTTTGCCATAATTGAATTGATCGCCACTGCAACTATTTGGGTTTTCGATGAAAAATAAATTTTTGACAAAATACCAACTATCCAACCTCAGATGTTATTTCATGTTATTCACAGGAGAAATCTGTAACCTTCAACTAAAATCATGGATTGAAGTTCAGACACTTAATCGTGGAGTAGCAGTACGTAGACCAGTGGCAAAGAAATACATCAACAATCAGACTGTTGTACTACATGCCTGGCATCTTTACAGGAGCGGTGCCTTGACTTTGCCTCGTTTTTTATCCTGTGCAAACCACTTTTTATTAGTTTTCAATAATAAGATTCTTTTCCAAACAGAGGAGCAAGTCAATTCGTTCATGATCACAACAGGGCACAATATTGGTACGTCATTAGCATAAAGTATTCATAAATAATCGTTTATCAGACAATACTTGAAATCCAATAACTAATGAAGACATCTTCGAAAGAACCACAAGTAGATAATTGCATCACATATTATCCGGTATAATTACTGCAGAAAATCGATTAGCACAGGGATTATCAGTGATTTTTCCGGTATTAAATTAGTGTTTTCTTGCAATTGTTTGCATTTATGAATGAATGAATGTCCATTTTTTCAAGTCACATGACATACATTGAGACTGCATTGACCTTCAAGATATGGTGCACCTGAAAAATAGATCCAACGATATTAGAGAAAATTTGAAATAAAACAAGAATTGAATATAATATTTTTCAACAATAACAATACATAACATACTTATAGAGCTAATAATACTGATAGTAAGTCGAGCAGACTCTGCCACGATACTTATTGTAGATTATGGTACATTATATCCCCCTTCTTCGGGCTAATTTTCCGATTGGGTCGCTCGTACCTCTTTGTTCTTAGCCTTCCCCGAGAACTCTTCCACGTAGTTGCACAGTGCTAAGTCCATTCCAGGGATTCACTGCTAGGTCCTTGTTCTAGCCACTCGATCAGCTTTCTTGTTGCAGACTCAGCTATATCTTCCATGACCTGTTCACATAAGATGATGTATTCCAGGCTTTCCAGTTTGTTGCAAATGGAGCACTGGGGGTTATTAAAACATTTGAAAGTGCTTCTGCATCCGTTTCTGCACCTCAGCCGGGCCCACTGCGACTTTACACTTACCGTTGGTTTTTTACACCCCAATATAGTCCACCCTTCACTCCAGTTGCTAGGTACTTATTATAGGATGGGTAGTAGTTCGATTATTCTATGCGGTGCCAGTCTGTTTAAATCTGCTAGTCTCCCAATGACTAAGATTAATATTTGATACAGTTAACATTCAAGGATTAAAAAAATTATGCACCAAATTATTTATTAGTTTATTCTCTGGCGTTTAAATATTTTACAAACTCTGTGTTCATTTGCGTTTAAAAAGTTTTCAAAATATATGTAATAAACATTCATTTTAGTCATTATAATCGTAGATTGAGACGATAAATTGATAATATAATCCTGTAAAATCGTTTCAAGACATTTCTACTATTGTATAAATTGCGTTTGCAAAAACAATTGTTTTTTAATTTTCAAAATTAAAAAGTTTCCTTTTAATGAAATACCAAAAGAAAAAGAAATTAAAACTATTGGAAATGGGTGGATTAAATAATAAAGGAAGCCGCAGTGAATGTAATTGTCATTCTAATAATATTTTATTTTAATGTCACAAGGAAAGGCTGTCTGGTTCAGTTTGCTGGCCACCACCTTCTCGTAGTTGTCCAGCTCCTTCTCGCCCCAAATCATCCGCTCTATCGGGCTTCCTTTTCAGAATCTCGTTCTGATTAGCTACTTTCTCTGCTGCCATCCTCCAGGTTGAACATAAAACTCATCGGTAGGTGATCAGAGCCCGAGATATGCAATATCTCAACCTCCTCCATTAATGTAGTGACTTCTGCCGTACTGACTAGAGGCCGGTCCAGCATTGAGTTCGATCCTCCAAAGAAGGTGGCATTGCCATGCCTATCCCCTTCAACCACTCCATTCCGAATCACTAGATCATTTGTAGCCCCAAGGTCCAGCAACTGCTGGCCTCCTCTGTTTAACTGCTGGTCGTCAGAGCGCCATTCAAGTCCTATACTAGCAGCTTCCAGAATCTCACTAGGGCACTGGTATTCTCTCACTTTGGCGTTCCAGTTCTCCATGAGGAAGAGTCCACCTGTCTCCAGTGTTGTATCAAGCAGTGGTTGCAATTTTGCCCTAACGTGTGCCATCTTTCTGTTATTGTAGACCGTGATCACTTCGATAGGTTGTAGCTTTGCTGCAACTTTCCTTTACCTTTTATAAATTTCCTCCGCATGGCTTCAGTCTTCCGGCTCATTCTGACGACTGGTTGCGTTACCCATTTGTAATCTGAATTAAGATGGCTTAGAGCTTGATGAGTTTCCTGAAGGGCTATAATCGTGAACTGCTTTAAAAAATTTCAATTACTTTCTAATCATGAAAGCGCGATCGATATTCCAAGAATCCAGATATTCCTGGAAGCCTCCTTGTCTTTCAGAGCTAGGGATACCTCCACTGCTTCCGAGTCTCCTGACTTCTGTTGGTGGCTCCTATGCTGCGCTGGTCCCTGTTTTCCCCTCTAGTGCTGGCACATGGGTCTCAGTTCTAAATTTGCTTTACTCTCCGACCAGATCCATCAGTTCTCAGAGAGTCTACTAAAGCTTGTGGCCCTGCTGTCTCCCAGGCCCCTAAGTGGAGCTTCCTGCAGTCTATGGGAAAATAATCTTGAAGTCCGTACTTATCGTCCTGGGCACGTTTGACGGTAGGGCTCCCTGGATGTTGGCAAGATCCCTGTCTCTGCTCGTCTCTGGTCGACTCGTGAATTTCTGCTTCCATTTGAGTTTGGGAAGACCCGTAAAGCAGAGTGAATGCTCGCGGGTTACTCGGGCGAGAGGTGCATGTGTTTATTGTTTAAAGTATTCTGTTTGCTTTTGCGTTTGATAGCCGCTATTGCGTTCGTTAATTCGTTTTCCTGAACTGTCACAGCATTGATTGATGTGGGAACAATTGGTAGCTTGTTTTTGCTGCCCAATAGCCTGCCTCTTCCTTTTTTAATTGTCTTTAGGGTTTTGGGGCTTTCACACATTGGATTCTTTGTTCCATTCCCTCGTTACCTCTACCTTTCAGGTTTAGCTTCTTACCCTTGTAAGTCTGTCATGGAAAAGATGAAAAATGAATCACGCTAAAAGAATATGCTGCAACTTGACAATAAATAGTATAATTTTTCCCATAAGCTAAAAAATAGAGAAAAACCAAACACACTTATAACAGGCATGCAAACGCTACTTAAAAATCATATAGTCCATCACAGTGTCAACCTTGTCAAGTAAAAATTTGAACATTAATTTTGACGATTACAAATAGCTTTCAATCCGCGAATCAAATGCATTGCGTTACGTATTATTACCGCATTCACAAGCTTGATTACAAATTTTAAACTTTTAGATGAGCCAGTGATGGGCCTCAATATTGAGGAGATCAGAATCGAAGGTGCCGTATTGGACGATTTGTGGATCCCTCCGATTATCCGAGAATTTGCTCAAGGGGAGGACATCACAATTGATGTTTGTATGTATAATCCATCAATACAACATTTGTTCAATACGTATTACCGCCAATCAACTCCAGAATTGATTTATACGTTTTCAAATAACAGTGGAAAATATCGACCAATCCAGATGCCGATATTGTGGCCATTCCATTGTGGACATGATATCGCTCCCATGTAGGCACTGGTTCGCATGTCAGAATTGCGTCCAGCGATGCGTGAATGCGGCAGAAACCCATCAACTGAACTTAATTTGCCACACCTGCGAAACACAAATTGTTGTAATTAAAATGATGCAGATATCATAATGCTGAGATGCTGAAAGCCACTGGTCCATTGCTGTAATGCATTTGACCTGTGATTTGAGATTTATCAATGCAGAACATCTGACGATTTTGAAGGATAAGGAGAACATCAGGTCCTGGTTTGGCAAAGCTCCCTGTACATTTCTCCATTCATCTAGGAAGGGAGGGGAACTAGTCTGGAGTAATTAAAGATATTGCAAATGGCTCGCATGTCAAATAAAATCATGTTAGTACAGTTGAAATATTTCTTTATTTGAAATTGTCCTTAGCAAAACACATCCACACACATCGAGATTCTAAACTGGACTAAGTTATGAAACAAAGATCCTGGAAACTTCGGCAACATGGGCCCACAAAGTTCCAACTATTTTACCGATGTTTAGACTGAAAAACGAATAGTAATAGTAATAGTAATTTTCCAGACTGACACCTAAAAAATAAGATTTTCTGGACGCTACACATCTAGAAACTCGCTTTTTTAAGGCCGTGCGTCTGGAAAAATTCTGTTAAAGCCACGCCGTGGAAAACATATCACCCTTCCCTACATACTTGCCATCCAAGCCGAAGGCGATCGTGCATCTTACATGTGGGGGGGGGGGGGGGGGGGGGGATGATCTGTTGGCCACGGCTAGGCCTAACTTCGTTCGGTAAAATCGTGGATTTTGGGCCCAGCGACGAAATTTTGTATCTTACCGTTGGTTTTTTACACCCCAATATAGTCCACCCTTCACTCCAGTTGCTAGGTACTTATTATAGGATGGGTAGTAGTTCGATTATTCTATGCGGTGCCAGTCTGTTTCGATTAATTATTCTAAAAGGTTAATACATTAAACAAATATGGCACAATGTTGAATAAAAAAAAAATTTATTAACATCCACACGTTTGCTTTATTTTTTCATGGAAAAAGAAAAACAGAAAAAAAGCGTTAAAATAAGAGATATGGGGATTGAAGGCGGGAGAATATGAAGTAAAAATGATTACTAATTAATAAAAAATCAATAAAAAAGAAATAGTCGGGGTGAAGCCGAATCCGGAACGATCGAGTGCTTCTACCCAATTTTTTCCATTTCAATTTCCATAAGATTTGGCTTCCCCCCTTCCGCTCGTTCTCCAGTCACCTAAATTTGAGCTAAAAAAATAAAAAACAAAAAACATTTTCACACCGCAGGGAATAAGATTAATCCCGTAGACTGGTCCGTCTGACAGCGGGACTGCTACTGAGGCAATTCCCAGTCGGCTGACGGGCAAGCACCCCAGCATTGCATGTGGCGCTCTCCCTCTTATGGGATGAGGTACTCTTTGCCACCAAGGATAAAGTTGATGGTCGGCGCATGATAAAGCAGATAGCTTGAAAATATCAAATTTATTCGAACAAATCCGGTTTCGTGTTCATAGTAGTGCAGTTTGAACTACTATGATTCCACTTACTTAAATTTTCAGAAGAAGATTAGTTAAGAATATGCTAGGACCGTTTACTGTGTATTGCAATTAGTAATTACCATGTATCATTACTGACATGACAATCATGATACTGTTTTATTTCCTTCTTTTCATTAATTCATTGGAAATTTTCTGTGGAACGCCCTTTTTAACTATTCTATTTACTCTAGGCAAATTAATGATGATATTTGTTTTCACGTGGTTGCCAGAAATTGATACGACTGATGATATTCATAATATCAACCAAAACTAGTTGTGGTATGTTGGTTGAGTTTGACGAAGTATTCATTGGTCTCATATGACAATTTCTCTTGTTTAAAGATTAATATGGCACTGTGAATTCAAAAATTTGCATTCTCGTTCCCTGTTAATAATTCTCTACTATTTTGGTTACATCAATTTAAATCTTTTGTCTAAATTAGTTGACTTACATATTTTTGGGATTGAATGATGCAACTTACTGGTTATCAGAATCGAAATTATCCACAAACGATGGAAAATTATGTCGTTCTTTACTATGTGTTCGAAATTCATATGAGTTATATAATAACCACAGAACAACTACTGCCATGTATTGGAAAAATAGTAATAGAAATACCGATTGCATGCAATCCAGATTTACTCCAAATTAAATTTTTTAGGATTTCTGAAGTACTTAGGTCAGTTAATTGATATAATGATTGTTTATACCCATAATCATTCAATAATTGATTTATACCGACAAATTATGCATCGGTTAGTTATCAAGTTCCATAAATCAAATCTTGAACATATGAAGCATGTAGGGAATTTTAGTTCTCATATTCGCCACTTCGTATAACTAGGACTTGGCGTCCGTGACATCAAGCCTGGCGAGGCAAGAGTTCCGCCATCTTTTTAGCAGTTATCGCCAGGATGCGAGAGTGATAAGAGAGTTTTTTTCGAGCTGCTACAGGAGGCAATGGGAGGATCCCACCCCGGGCACAAGTCCCGTGCCAAGGTGAGAGAAAGTTCTCAGTATTTTTTTCCCAGTTACGCCGATGACTGGAGACCCGCTTTGTGATTCGCGGGTGATGAAATATCCTGTTCGATCAACGGATCGAACGGCGTCTTCCGTCCGTCGAGGCGTTCGCGAGTGTTCTTCGGCCATGGTTTACTCGGAAACCACAGCCGATCGCGTGTGGAGGGTTCGCTCATCCCCAGGGGATCGTCCCCGTGGGAGTTTGATGGTCACCGGGCAAAAATTCCGGTAAAAATCCCGGGGGGAAACCGTCGAAAACCCCGTGGAACATGAGGATTTTTCTAGCTTGGCCTTGACCAAGCATACGTACCGTCGAGGCCTTGGGCATTTCCCACACTACGCCTCGCTTACCGTTGATCGAGAACTATGGCTCAACGGCAATGGAAGATTCCCGTTCCGGAAAACGGAGATATCTCAGTCCCCGTAGACGGTGAAAATTCCCAATTTTGGGAGGATGTGCGTGAGTTATCCCTCTCAGTGGTGGAGTTTATTCGGGCCTGATCGGGTGACCCGTTACCACGCTGAAAAAGTTAAAACCATTAAAAACTTATCCTCACGGGCGCTGTGAAGATAAGTCAACGCCTCGTTCAGGCCCTCCCCGAGGATTTTCTCGGTGATTTGCCCACTTTGGGTATGATCAAGGACCTTTTCCGTGGTCTACCTACTACCTCGACAGTTGACCTACCCCTCACCTATTGCATCACCAATTAGTCAAATTTCTCGGGTTACATGGGCCTGGGAGGATGCCCGAGTTTCCCTAGAAGCTTTGCGGACCTACGTGGAGACTTTTCATGTTGAAACTTTATCGTTAATTATTTCAACGGGTCCTCTGGATGATTTTGGGAAATTCCGAGCCTCATTCGGTGGCTCGCTGAACGAATTGGGTTTTTTTTTTTATTATAGCGTCTCGCGGAGTCACGTGGAAGTTTCTTTTTTGGGCTTCAACGGATAGCACTTAATTCTACGAGGCCTCCGAATCTTTTGGGACATCCCGAGCATTGTCAGATGCCTTGCGGGCCGGATTAGGCTTTCCTTCTTTTTCGTACCGTTGACCTCGATCCACTGGAGAGAATTTCAGACATTGTTGAGGTCGTCGAATAAACTGTCGATTGAAATAAGTCGATAGAATATTTTTTTTCTCGTTATTTTGGTCCATTTTTGTCCTTTTTCCCGAATCCACCACTCTCTCCACAACCTAGCATACTGAGCAGCGCAGGCATCCGTTGCCTCTCCCTTAACCCCTTCGCTGAGCTAGATTAAGTAACTGTTAGGCTTCCTTTTTTGATTTTTCGTTAACTTAAGCTTTGAGTTGCTGATTCCTCGACTTCAGAAAATTAGCTGGTGTCCGGAAACCTTTTCAGGTCCCGATCTTTGTCCGTGTTTTTTTTATATCGGCGAGGAGGCCATAGGGACGAAGGGCGAAAGTGACACGCATTTGTGGTCGTTAGAAAATGTCGAGTCACAAATGGCGCCCGACGGGGGGCTCGAGGGCAAAACGGCAAAACCTTTTGTAGTTTGGATGAGTTGGGACATTAGGTAGTTGGTTACGGTTTCATTAGCTACTGTTATTACGAATAATGACTTATTGCCATAATTGGTTAGGGCATTAATTTATCGTAGGCCCTGAAACGACGATTCAGGGACTTAATTAAAATTTCATTTCACTCTCCGGTAGAGAGAGGCGACCAGTTAGGGTTGCGAATATTAATAGTGGCACGGATTTATCGTTCCCTCTCGAATGAGCAGAGGAGGGCTATCGAATCTTTCGGGAATTAAATTGAGACGAAATTCTATTCCCTCTTAACTAACGAGAGGGGACCTATGCGGGATTAGAGGATTAAATTCGAGCCGTAATTAAAATTTGTTTACGTAAAAGTAGAATTCCGATCATTCGGCATCAAGAGTGCTGACCAAGAGAATGAATTAGTTCGCGAAACGTAAATACGAGGATAATCCGATTACGAAAACAAACCTTCCGTGTTCGACCAGAATCACGAACGCGAGCACAAAATTAAAACGTGAGATTATCGCCCGCGAAACCCTCGAGTAGTCCCCAAGGGCACTGCGGAATATCATTTCGATTATCTTTTTTTTCTTCGCGAACAATTCCCGAATCTTCCCCTCCCAGGGTGATACGGCGGTATCCCCACTTTGCTGGGGAGAACCTCGTCCGGTACCGGCTAGAGTTCGGAATGTTCAGTCGCAGTTACCGCGCTGACACAGAGCGAACATTCACTCACAGCCATCGCCGACGGGTAACCGTCGTCGAACCGCACCGGCTGTCGAATCTCGACTCAGCTAACTCAAGCATAGAAAAAAAAGAGCAGAGAGAAAAAAGAGAACAAAAAATGAGAACAAAAAAAAGGAAGGTTAGGAGCCGTCATCTCCGATCGAACCGGCGGGTGATTTTCGCACGGGATTCTCGCGGCAAAACATCGACTCGGCCAGCAGAGCTGAGCCCGCGGAATGTCCCGACCCGTGAGTCCGGGGCATCTGAGTATTCGGACCTGGACCCACCGAATCGGCTTTACTCTGCACTAGGAGGATCCGAGAAATTAAATC